CCGGACACGGAAAAAGACAAAAGACAAAAAAAAAAAAAAATTACTTGGATAGGTGAAAATTTTAGCGTTGTTTTCCATTTTCTATTGCATAGCAATATTACTGTAATTACATTGAGATCCTCCATAGTGCTGGTTTCTAAATAAGGAAATAAGTAAAAACCACCATACTGACTTATACTAATTTATTGAACAGGTGATTAAATTAGTTCAAAAATCAAAAATTGCTGAAAGGTGAATAGTGAGAGGTCTCTCTCCCATGCTGCCCCCTCTTGTCCACTGTCATCCCTCCTGTGAATAGAAAACCCCAGAGATAACCACTATTATTAGTTTCTTATGTACACTTTCAGACATGAGCAAATTTGAATATATAATATCCCCATATCCTTTCATACAATGGATAAGTTGACTCTATTTAATAGAAATTGAACAAAAGGAGTATTTTGAAATATATGCAAAATCAGTAAAACATTCAATTTTATATACATGTAACTTTTGTATTTGTTTTAACAGGAAAAAATTAAAGAGTACATCCAAATATATTTATCAAACATTATTTTTGAATGGTGAAAATAGTGACATTAAGATTTGTGCTCTAGGAGAAGAGTGGAGCTTACACAAAATATATTTATGTCAAGTAAGTATTTTATTTTATTTGAGTAACCAGAATAGTCACTTAAAAAAACTCAGACTCTTTTAAGTCATGTTCTTTCTCATTGCATTTCGTGGTAATCTTTTCATGGACAGCAGTTGTTTAAATCCTCTCATCTGATAAAAAGTCTGTTTTATTAGGAAAATGATGAATATTGTTACTGAAAACTTAGTTTGGCCTAGAAAACCGACTTCAAGATTTTATTGTTATACTATCCTAGCATTACTTCTTTGTCATTAATTCAAAAAGATGCTTATTTTGGTGCCTTCTGTTGATGAAAGAGAAAAATTAAAGAAAAAATGTTTAGCATTAAAGTTAAGATTGCTAAATTTGTTTATTTTATATATGATTATTTAAATTGGATAAATTCATCTGAAATGTTCCTTTGTAGTTCAGGTTAAATGTGAGTAGAAAGTTCTTGACACTTACTCTTCCTTCCCTCCTGGGAAATCCAGTTAAATTAAAGACAAGACCAAGAAAATATATAGACTAAGTCATTTAGCCAGTATACCGATTCAGTTTCTGTGGTGAAAAATATTACTATCTACCACACCACTTTAAAAATTCAAAACTCTCAAAATAGACTAAAATGTTGCTCTGATGGCTCAATATTTTATTCATTTATTCTTTCATCAAATCTATGTGCTACACATTGTTCTAGGCATTGGGAATAAAACAATGAGTAGTTCTTCTCATATATAGCATATGTTTTTCCTCTCCTTACCATTTGAGAATGATGACTAGTAAGACAGTATAATATAAGATTTTTCAGTAAAAACATTTGAAAAAAGAATTTTTTTTCTCTAACATTTTAGTCATACTGTTTTTTATTTATTTTTGAAAAAGTTTGCTTTGGCGTGAAGTATATAGCCCAGAAAATATACCAAAATATTGGCCTTGAAGATATGGTCCATATCCTTCTTTTTAATCTCTGAAAGTGGTTGTGTGTATTTGAGGATGAGAATGCCTCTGTTAAAACTTTACCTTTCATGGAAACTGAATTGATCATAGTTCAGGCTATATGCATAAACCTGTTGAGGGCAGAAACAATGTCAATTTTGTTTACAGTTATAGTCAGAGTGCCTTCTACATACTAAGTACTCAGTAAAATTTTCTAAATCAATTAGTTAATGTCTGCTTTATTCCAAAGTAATTCTAATTATGAGGGATGCCATCTGGAGGGCAACTAAAGACTTCATTCTAGTATCTTTCCAACAATTTAGATCTATTCTGGAATTTTCTGATTAGGTAAAACTAAACTTTGTGTATTCCCTGTTTCTTTGGGGATTGTCTATTGGTGCTGACTTGGGAACAGTCTGGACTCATTATAGCCATAGAGGTACAGTAAGGATTCAACAATTGAAGGACTTTTAGTCTCCTCTCCTCCATAGTACATTAATTATTATGTATCCACTTAGTGCAGTTGTTATATGTTTGTGAGAGGTACTTAAATATGTGACATAGTTTGAATTTAGAACCTCGTTGAGAAGGAAAAAAGTATATGTAACATATTCAGAAATCGTTTTAGCTAAATAAAAAAATAAGCAGGTTTAAATAATAATATAGGAAGTAAGTTCGTATAGTAATATAGGAATTTGGTTTAGTTTTTGTAAAATAGTACTAAACTGAAAGTATATTTTGGTATACCTAATAGTGTCCTTATCTTAATTTCTTTTCTACTGCAGACATATTTGGGGATTCTTTTTCTCTTGAAATAATATAATGAATTTAGTTTTGATAGAACAGTGGCTTAAAGTTAGAAATAATTTGGAAGACACAGAAAGTACTAGGTAATATTGACTTTTTTTTTTTTTTTAAAGTCTGGCTACTTTTCTAGTATGTTCAGTGGTTCTTGGAAAGAATCCAGCATGAATACTATTGAACTGGAGATTCCTGACCAGAATATTGATGTAGAAGGTAACCACCATCATAATTACTGTTATGCAAAAGTCATAAAAACATAACAATTCTTTTGGAAGAAAATAAGTAAATATTTACATAGAAAATCTGTTGAATAATACTCATTGATTATTCCCTATGCAATTCATTGTTGTTTTAGAGCTATAAGAATCCTTAGCTGAGGAAGCTGATGCCCAGAGAATTTAAGGGACTTCTTTCGGATCTTCGAGCAGTTTAGTGAGCCCACATCAGACTGTAGCTCTCCTGCTTCCTATTCCAGTGTTCTTTCTGCTCCCCTCATTGATAGTCCGGGTGGAAGTACCCAGTGCCCACCACATAGGCAAAGAGAAAAGAATGTTTGTAAGGTGAACCATGTGGGACATTCATGAGAGCAGCAGTGGAGAGAAGGATGGACAGGCTTAGATAGATGTGGGGGCTGGGTGTGAGTGTGGCACAGACAATACCAGGAGATCTCCCACACTCCCCAGTGTCAAAGCACTGAAAACAGCAGGGTTAAGGTTATCATTGAGTCTGTGTACTTGTACTTAATGGCGGATCTACTCAGGAGTATCTTATAAAACTTCTTCCAAGGGTGTCTTAATTCTGACCAATAACTTATGTCAGGATTAGATGTAGAAGAATATCTCTAGATTTGGTAGAATAAACAGAAATTTACATTATTGTTGTTAACACCATCAATCATAACCATTACTACCATTTTAATTAGTGATATGTCTCTTATTTTTTTACGTGCATACCAGATTTAGACAAATGTCATTGTGTGTGAAGACAGTTGCTATTTTTGTAATACTCTTATAGATATAACTATTGTTATTTCATTCTACATGTGTACTTTTGCTTTCAGCACTACAGGTTGCATTTGGGTCACTGTATCGAGATGACGTCTTAATAAAGCCCAGTCGAGTTATTGCCATTTTGGCAGCAGCTTGTATGCTGCAGTTGGTAAGTATGCACATTATTGAAAGAATCACAGTGGTTTCTTTGTTTCAAAGTATCTACTTCAAGAACAAAAATACAGTGTGGCTTTTTTTACAATTTTTAAAATAAAAAAGAAATGTATAAATATGCCATTTGTTATAAATCATTTAAAATGCTTAAAAGCAATTTATTACAACTGAGGGGGTCATGCTATCTGTGTAAAATGAATGTAAGCTATTTCTGTCGATATTTTAGTATGGCTATAATGAGGAAAAAATTTACTTGTCTAAGTTAATTTACAGATTTCTATTCATTAATGATTTATCTTGACTATTAAGCAGATGGTTTATGATTACTAATTAATTTTAGTTCAAGGGTTCAAAAAAACATTGAGTGCCTACTATATAAACTTTTTCTTGAAATAATTGTGTGTAGATTATTTATACACATATATGTATTTTAATCTAACTTATAGAATGACAGATTTGTTCATTCAACAGAAGTGTACTGAGCAAGTGTCATAGTAGGCATAGAGATCCAAAGGTAAATAAAGATGTAGTCCCTACCTTCAAGGAGCTCAAAATGTAGTGTATCTGTGGAGGTGGGGAGGGAGGGTTGATATACAAAACAAAAGGTGAAGTAAGAGCTGTCCAATATCGTAGGTATGATAATAAACATCCTGTAGGATTTATTGGATGCGTAAAGTTTGTGGAGGTGGGGAGGGAGGGTTGATATACAAAACAAAAGGTGAAGTTAGAGCTGTCCAATATCGTAGGTATGATAATAAACATCCTGTAGGATTTATTGGATGCGTAA